ACCCATGGTTCACTTTAACCTAATTTTCCCTATATATTCCATATGGCCGAATTTCCCTATATATTCTATATGGCCGAAACTTGTAGTTACTTTGGATATATTGATGAGTTTCTCTCTTAAAATTCATCTCCACCGAAGTCACCTTTGAATTCCTAACTCTACCCTCCTTGAGTGCTTCTCTTTGTAGAGCTAGGAACCCTAGTCTTCTTTGGACTTAGCTTGTATGCAAGCTTAGGTCAACTTGCACCTTTAAGGCGTCTCCATTCCTTGAAGATTCATCCAAGGAATTCCGTAAAGGTGTGAAGCATCCATGTACATTCCAAGTGGAAACACATCAGGGTGGGTACATGTAACTCGTTGAGAAGATTTATTAGCCACATAATTTCAATGGTAGCCATGTGAATAACTCGGTAATCAGCTTTAGTCTTCTTTTCTTTTTGGATAGCAAAAAGATTGTGTTTCCTCCAAACATAATGAGGAAGGCATATAGGTGGAGGTCTTGTGATTGGAGTGTCCTCCCTAGTTAGCATCATTGTATGCAAGTAAATTAAGAGAAGTTGGTTTTTGAAGCATGAGTCCATAGTTGATGGTGGACTTTAAGGTATTGAAGTATCTATTTAGGTGTTGGAAATGAGGTGCAATGGGCTTGTGCATAAATTGGGATAGTCTATTTATAGAGAAAAAGATATTTGTCCTGGTAAGATTTATATATTAAAGTGTTCCAATGAGTTATTGTATTATTAAGTTGCATTCATGGAATATGTTTCATCATGAAGCTGAAGTTTGGGCAATGGGGATAAAAGTGTGGGGGGATGGTTTCACCCCCTCCATGTTAAACATCTCAAGGATTTCTTCAATATATTTGTCAAAGTAGGGGTCTAGAAAATGTAGGGATGAGTTCTATTCCTAAAATAGAGTGTATAACCCTTAAGTTTTTCAAGGAGAAACATTGAGAGAGTGCTTCAAAGAAATCATTGAAGAAGTGAGTATCATCTTCAGTAAGGAGTAGGTCACCAACATACACCAAAAAAATACGCTATGGCACCTCTTGAAGCATATATAAATAGGGAAGGATCACTTCTTGGTTTGGAATCCACACAAGATTAAAGTGCTTTAGTGCATTATGCCAAGATCATAGGGTTTGCCAAAGGCCATAACTGGCTTTGTGCAACTTTCATACATTATCATGATGCTAAGAATCCTTTAGACTAGGTGGTTGAACCATGAAAACTTCATCTTGGAGGCCACCTTGGAGAAATGCATTATTAACTTCAATTGATGCATTGCCCATTTGCGTAGAAGAGAATGGTTAGAATATTTTGATGGTTTGTGCGAAAACAACAAGGACAAATTTTACCTCAAAGTCGATATAGGGGCATTGCATGATGCCTTTTGCAAAAAGGTGTTCTTTATATTGAGAGATGGATCCATCAACATTTTGTTTTATTCGAAACAACCATTAGCAACCCATTATATTTTAGCCTTTTGGAGGAAGGACTAAGGACGACATACCATTCCTTAAAAGTGTCTCATATTCATTAGCAATGGCTTTGCACCAATGAACATGATGTATTGCTTCATAGATATTGGATGGCTTCAGATTTTTCGGTAGTGGGTGCTTGGATGTAATGAACAGGTGTTTGGGCTTGAAGATGTTGTTTTGGGATCAAGTAACCATAGGGTGGCCTCATAGGTGTTATTCAGACTCTTCGTTAGGCAATGAAATACTTTTGTTTTTAGAAATGGGTGATTGGATGCAATGAACATGATGTATTGTCTTAAAGTATTTTGAATTAAAGGAGAAAGTTCGAATGCATTACCTAACAAAGAGTTTGAACACTAGGGGGCATCTTGGAAGGGTAACCACATGTTGAGGATTGAGGTTAGAAGTTTTTTGATTAGATAGGTGATAATGTGAAAGGAAAATGTCCTAAATTAAGGGAATAGGTTGGCAACATGGAGGAATGCTTTTCCTATTTCAACAATATTCCTATGTCGTTATTTTATCTGTAGCATTTAGTTTTGGTGTAAATTGGGAGGAGAGGGGTTGTGAAATGGGATATTCCATGTGTGTTGAGAAGTGACTTTAGTTTTATGAACTCACATCCATTGTCATAGTAAAGAAAAATAATAGTAAATTGAAAATTCTCTTTTGAATTAGAAAATCAAATAAAAACACTTGGTTTATTTTTCAATGTAAACAAACAAATATACTTGGTGAAATGATCAAGAAAAACTAAATAGTGGGAAAATCCATCTAATGACCTAGTGGTAGATGGACCCTTAACATATATGTGTAGATAAGTTCAAAAGGATGTTTACTTTGGACATATGATATGAAGAAGAGTAGTTTGAGACTTTTGACGCCACTACACGAGATGCAAGGTAGATGATTGTTCTTTTTTGAAGGAAACTTAGATGTCTCATGATATGATCCAATGGATGCCCCTAAAATGTGATGCCATGGTGGAGAGTGGAGATGGGGACTAGTGATTTAGTGGTGGATTGGCAGGTGGGCACATGGTGAAGGCTATTTTTAAGATGTCTTGTGAAGACATGTGTGAAATTCAATTTCTTAAGATCATGAGTGATATGATGGGTAGCTCCAAAGTCCACGATCTAGTTAAGAGCACTCAAAGACAAAGTTATAACATGGTGAGTCTAGAGAGTAGTAATGTGCTCAGGTGAGAAGCCATGGAGCATGTAAAAGATCTTGGTATTTTTCCTAGTTTTATCACAATATTGAAAAATCACCCTCTTTGATGAACCATGAGATGTGGGTCTGTTAGTAGAGTGATGAGAGTTTGATGTTTGCCTAGGGTGAGAACAATGTTTATACTAGGATGCTTAAATTTCCAAGCCACATGGCAATGGCAATGGT